GCATTAAGAGAGAACTTGACATTTGCATGGCAATGCATTTGGAAACCACTTAAACTCAACTCATCTAGATCAAAAAGCAGGACATAATGTACGCAAATGACAGCACACTATTTGTTTGCATATTAATTAAAATCCAGCATTTGGTATTTCACACTAGAGCACCAGCTTTGACTAAGAATGTAAAACAAGTAAAATAGAGTAAAGCAATGCGTCCCTGTTTTGTATACATCTATTGCAACAACTCGCTCAGGAAAATCATTAACAATTAACATAAAACAAGAATTATAATGCCTGACTTTTTTCCTTTGGCATGCAACAAATCGAAAGGTTTTTTTTGAAAAAAAAAATTGCGCAAATTTCAAAATACGTTTCAAAGAAATTCATATATATATAATATGTATATATACCAAAGTTATGTATTAGGCATTTATCTGCACAGTGACAGGCTTATTATACAGGGCGTTGAATAATTTGTCATAGGAAGGGGAAGGGCAAACATACCAAATCACCAAGTGGCTAAAGAAAGGGAGAAGATGGCAATCAGGACATAGAAACATACATGTAACAGAAGAAGCAAATACGTAACAATTATCACCCGAGAGAAACATGTAAAACTCAGACATATAAATTGATTGCTTCATTCACATACATTTAGGAGACAGACGTTGAAAGACGGCAAGCATGAACAGAGAACGATACAGGCTAGATATCATATTATACAAAATAGTTTGAGGACTCAAACAATTGTGCATTCACAGAGCAGGGAAGTTCTTGTTTTGCCTCATCCTTTCTTGTTTGCAGTCCTCTGCACGTATAGAGTCCATCATTGAAGATAAAATGTACTTCTTAGAAGCATATTAAAAGGGGTTATCATACAAAGACTTTTGCCAAGGCATCGGCACCCCCGCTTGCTATGTAAGGTTTGGATGGATGGAAAGCGACTGTGTAGATGGCTTCATCAAATTTCTTACGATGCGACGTTATTTCCTGTACACATGTTTTACTATCAAGATTCCATAACCTAATAGAGCAATCATGGCCTGCGGAGAAAGGAAATAACATTGTTAGAATTAAAGGTGTCTGTGTCAATCTCAATATTTCTCATGGGAATTGCATGTTGTTGTTTTTTAAAGCTCAGTACCAGAACTCAAATCAAGAAGTTGTTTGGAGAGAATAAACCTACTAAATTAAGAGTGAAAATAGGATAGGAACTCTAAAACAGTACATTTCAATTCCACTCCTAATTTAACACTATGATTCAAATCACTACCTAATAGCACCATAAATAAGTCAACTTCTTAACTACTTTTCCACGACTGCACATCACACTTAATATACAGTTGAAAAGTCCTTATATTATGTAGAATATACAAAAAAAAAAAAAAAAAAAGAGCATCCTACACTAATTTTCAGGCAGAGATTTACTAGCACTGGTAAAACAGTTTTATTCAGACACTCGAAATAAGTATGATTTACTATCAGTCTAAATTAGGACTGTTACTAGAATATGTAGGAAGAAATGATGTTTTAAAGATACAATCAGTATAAATTGTCACAGGAACTTTTAACACATGACTGGATACTGTCAGAACGACTCGGATATTATTGCTGTGTTAATCATCATGAAACAGACAGAGAGTAAGGTGGACAAAGACAAAATACAGCCTTTAAAGCAACATTTTTCTCCCTCACCGATACAGGATGAGGGAGATGGTTGCGTTAATTTTTAGGAATTAAAGACTGTTACAAAGTCATCCACGGAACCTACATAATGTATTTATTAAATATAAATACGAATAAGTAGTTTAAAACAAGCAGCCTGTCGGCTGAGATAGCTCCGCTGTTAGAAATGCACATTTCAATAAAGAACAGAAGATATCATTAAACAATGAACAATATGTATAGTATCAAAGCAACAAGCCTTGCTGTTTTCAACAAGAATTCAAAAATATCATGTTTCACCAAAAATGACAAAAATAATCATCAAAATTAGGTAATTGAAGATATCACCACGAAATTAACAAATCTGAAAGAGGTCAACATATAGTGCCTATATATGTATAATATAAAAGCAATCAGACTTGCGGTTTTCAACAAGAAGTCGAAAATATCACTTTTTACCAAAATCAACAAAAATATTCACCAAAATTAGAGAATTGAAGATATCATTACAAAATGAACAAATCTGAGAGAGGTCCACATGTAGTACCTATATATGTAATATCAAAGCAATTGGACTTGCGGTTTTTAACAAGGAGTTGAAAATATCACTTTCTACCCAAAATGACAAATATTCACCAAAATTAGAGAATTGAAGATATCATCATGAAATGAACAAATCTAAGAGAGGTCTACCCAAGGTACGTATACACCAAATATCAAAGCAACAGGCTTGTAGTTTTCAAGAAGAAGTCGAAAAAGTAAAACATTGACACGAACCACGACGACGAACAATCACTCGTATGATAAGCTCTGCTCGACAAAGTCGACAGCTGAGCTAAAAAATAAAGTCCAATAAAGTATCAGTGTCAAAGCTTCATTATTTAAAATAAAATAGAATATTGCTGTTAATCAATGAAATACAACCGCAATAGCAATAGCAAAGCAATGCAATGCAATGCAATCTAGCTGGTAGGTTTTAAATAGATAACCACCAAGTTTGTAGTTTTTCAGAGGTTGGAGATGATAATATAAAAGTAGACAACCGACTGAAAGATTGCACTGGTAGCCATGGCAATAGTGCCTAGAATGATTTTCTCTGTACGAGATATAGTATGCATGCTATTCAGAAATTTTAATGGCTACTAATCATATAAAGTGAACAGTGCTCACAAGTACATTTGTACTACAAAACAAGTTTATCCTGCCGACACTGGTTCTCAATTAATCCAAGATGCTTTTATTTTCAAAACGTGATTCTTGTTGACAGAGATGATTCGGCTAAAATCAGAAAAGAGGTCGTACTTGCTAAAACGTTGCTATTTTGGTATTTTACAGCAACATTCTCAATACTTGCATAGGTGTATGACTACTACAATGGCGGAGATGGAAAGGTGTGATATTGCTTTTTGCAAACATGCTTTAACACTTCACAATGGCGCCTATAGCCACTCAAACTCGTCAGCTGCGAGTCACACATATTAACAACAAGTCTAAGGATTTAAAAAGAGCTGTCTGCCATCGGAGGATGTAAGAAACGGTAAGAACAAAATAGATGGGATTTTTCGCAACAGGAAGTTTATGCCTGAGTAGATGCTAAAAGCACATCAGTGTCTTCCATAGCGTAATGATGTGTTGCTATGGAGATGAGAAGTTATCTACCTAGTCTTTCGGTTATTTCTGAGATGTTATGAAAACAATTCAGGGAGGGAAATAATTATATATGGTGGGGGAACAGGAAAAATCTTTTCTTGATATGAACGATGCCTAGTCATAAAACTATGCATATGTAAAAATATTAGCCGCACCACTATAAATAATATACAAGCAGAAAAATGGGAACAAAAAAAAAAATCACTATTTCTAAATCAATGTGCTTTTTTTCATTTATTATTAATTTACTGAGTGCTTCTGTGAAAGAGAATTGCCAAGTGTAAAATGAGAATTGAGCAAAAAGATGATGATTGAAGGTGAATAGAATAGAGTTTTATACAGACATGCCTACAATAATTAGATTCATTAGTGATCACCAGGATTCATGTTACAACTACAGGAGAAGCTGTAAAGGGGGATACTTGGCAGTTTTAATAAGACTATCCATGACGACAGCTAATTATAAATGAGAGGCTTTAAGGAAGTATATGGAAAGCGGGAAGAGGGGAGAAACAGGGAGTTGGATATTACCCTAATGGAAATAGGAGTCAATATGAATACCGTAAGAATAATAATACAAATACTTATAGATTTCAAAACAAGATTGTGTGCTTTGACAAATCTCCTTGTACTGTTAACTACTTTATTTTAGCTGAAATTAATTTCCGCTGAATAGACTTTTAGGGAGTTTTGTATGGATTTTATTTTCACTGATTTTTAACGAGTTGAATGTAAAATATAGAAAAAAGGTATATTGGCTGGATTTTATTTTCACTGAATCATTCCTTCAGCGAAGTATTCTACAGGATTTCAATTAAAATAGACATCAAATGCCACTCTGTCGAATTAGTATCGGACTGCACACAAGTAATATTGATTGTGTACGCTAATGTAAACGCCACTATTGCTATTCTTTGTCCATTTGTCACACACAGTGATAAAGAATGTCAATTAATTACACCATATAAAATCATTGATTACACTTTGTATACAGGTATAACACTGAATTGAATTCAAGTGACACACAATGGCTATTATAAATAGATATTAATGTAATAGTATGTGAAATTAAACATAGCGCAACAACAACAGCAACCTTGCCCTTTCCATTAGTATTCTTGAACATTAGCAGCGAGAGCAGATGGCCAGACAGCTGCATTGCAATGGGTCATTGGGCATTCAGAGACATCCGTCTATTACCCAAAAACATCTGGTTATTTTGAAGTATTTTATCACTTTACATCATATCCACCAACCCTAGAAGCCATTACCTATTGTTCATATTTACTGTTTGAATTAAAGAAAAAATTGTTGAAAGTTTTCTATTACCGTACTTATCCGGGTAAGAGCCCATGCCCGGGCAAACGCCCACCCCCCACTTTTGACACAATAAAGAAGTTGAGGTAATATATTGGGCACACGCCCGGGGGTCTTTTTCTACACAAAAAATAACAAAAAACTATTTTCTATTCGTTGACTGTGGCTGTATTAACAGTTGACTTTCTTGCAGTCTGTCGTGATGCTTTAAATTCTTTAAATATAATTGTTAATTGCGTAAAACAAGGGGTGAAGCGAATAGCTGTGACAGCAAAATAAGTATTTCGCTTTCTGCCTTCAGGGCAACGCGTTCACTGCTGATTTACATTTATTTTTCAAGATTTTTTTTTTCAGAATCATAACAGTCAGCATGTCTATAAAAATATATATTAAAGCAGAATAGGTAGTTCTCTTTTTGAAATATGTCGTGGTCCTAAAAAGGGCTGGGCGTTTCGTTTTGTGCTTCCTCAGAAACGATTCAAGCAAATCGTATAAGGAGAGCCGCGAAGCAAGTGTCGCACCTAGTCGACCGTAGAATCATCAACAATTAAACCAATGTTGCAATATTGTAGCAGCCCATACTGAGAGAGTGGTTGAAATCACGTTATTTTGGCTTTAAAAAATATTTGGTAGCAGCTTGCGAATCCATAGCTGGGGCCAGCAATTTTGCAATGTCACGCCAAAGATTGCCAACTTTTTTACCATCTTTCATCACCGCTATTGCATTTCTGTAATGAAAACTATTCTTCTGATAAAAAAAAACTTCCTATTTCAAG